AAGATTGTTCTCTCTACTATGCATTTCTTCTGTTGCGTAGGAGGACAGTGACTTCATTTTCTCTTGTAGATTAAAGAACAAAGATTCAATGTCACTCAAGAAAAGCATCTTCTTCAGTTCTAGGTTGTGCTCATTGTGAATACAGGATTTCACAAGACAAGGTACAGCTCCTTTTGAGCAGCACGTTTGTGCAGTGTGACATGGCTATCCGTAGTCTCACATACTTCTGGAGAAGTGCTGTATTTGTGTCCATAGACATACCTTCTTTGAGGAAAATATGAAAAAATAGAGCCAACTATAAGTCCCATTAACTAAGGGTTGGTGAGATCAAGAAAATATTGCAATGGTGGACACTGGAGTCAGTAACGGCCTCCGTGACGTGTCTTGAATGTTGAAGGAGTATCAAGAAACCACAACACTCTAATTATTGAATCTGAAGTAGAGGGAATTGAGCTTCACTATTCTCATGTCTTCTGGTGACCTAGTCCAGATGGAGTTGTATTACTAACTCCTTTTAGTGGTTAGAACCTACCGTTTGGCTCCTTGGGAGAAAGCTGGCTAATCTCCCCCTGTGTGATTTACTTTTCTGAAAACCTGCTGGAGGATCGGCCATGGGTCCGTCCTGACTCCTCAGCAATGACTGGCTTTTGGTTTATCCCTAGTTAGCAGATAGGTTATCCCTGGGATTCTCAGAGCTTAGTTAAGTCAATGAAATGAAATAGTAAGTCTTTCCTTTCAAAGACAGTAAACATTACCTAAAAGAAAACTGTTGGAATTTGGAAGCAGTATCCCAAAGAGTGTGTTGAGGGACAATACAAGAATGTTAACCTTTCATGAGCAAACTCTTTAATTAATGACTGTCATATGATTAGAGGACAAAAGGGGGAGTGAGGGGAGGCCTTGTGAAGGTGAGCTAAGTGATGGGGTGCATGTCGCTGGAGTAGATGGCAGCAATGCCACCACTCAGTTAAGAACCAAAATGGTCCCTGATGACAGGTGCTGAGGGAAGTCTTTAGAAGGGGCTGCAGCTGAGGTACCGCCCTCACTCCAGTCTGTGTGTGGTGATTAAGTCAACAGCAAGGAAATTCCTCTAAGGTGGTTTGCACCTTCCTGGTTAAAGACGAGGAGCCTTTCCCTGGGACTGGTTCCAATGAGGCCGGTGACAGGGACAAACATGAATGACCCTGCTTGAATAGCTGCCACTGTCTTCAGCCCTTATTTCTTGTCAATCACGAGACCCACCCCTGGAAGTGTGACTTTTTATCCATTCACTTGGGAATTTATGTGGTTCTGCACATGGAAGCATTAGGATGGCAACATCCTGTTATCTGAGCAGTTACTTCATGTCTGAGGACAGCTTTTCGTGTGGCTTGTGTGGTCCAGGAAAGACTAGATGGCCTAACCCACAGTGAGGAACCACCTTAGGGTGGACTGGTGTATATAACAGATGGAAATTTAGATTTCAAACCTTATGAATGCTAAGAGCCAAATTTTGACTTCAAGTATTAGTTATATACACTTTCTGGATGAGAAGAGTACTGAATACCCCATGGATTGGTAAAAGAACAAACAGATATGACTTAGAGAAAATGCAGCCAGAGTGCTCCTTGGAGGAAAAGATGATAAAGGTTTGTCCCACATACTCTGGGCATGTAGCTAGGAGAGGGTATTCCTTGGAGAGGGAGATGATGTTTGGGAAGGTGAAGAGTTAGCAAAAGAGAGGAAGACCCTTGACCAAGTGGATTGACACAATGTCTGTGGCAATGGGCTCAAGTGTGTCAGAGATTGTGAGGACAACACAGGATAGAACAGGGTTCAGGTCTGTTGTTCATAGGGTTGTTATGAGTCATACTGAACTCGATGGAACCTAACAACAACAACAACAACAACAACAACAACAACAACAGCTTCTTGATAAGATGCATTCCTGAAACTGTTGCCACTGTTTTGTAATTCAGAAGCACAGAGAATTCCTGATGTGTTGTAGAGATACTGTGGTCTGCTTGGCTGGGAATACTGAACTTGAGAGTCTGAAACTCCACCAAGGTCACAGGGAGGACGCTGTCCATGTGGAAAGCCACTATTACATTGTTGCGTGTAGTCAAATAGGAATTGACAGAGGCAGCAAATCACATGGAAGGAGATTGCCAATTCTTCCTCCGCACCATTATATTAGCAAGGAACTACTAAGACTACTAGGATTGTGTCATTAGGACTCAGGAACAAACCTGAAGAAATTTCCAAAACTAAAGATGAAGCGATAGGATCATTAATATCAAAATCATAATGGCAATGGATTAGTGAACATAAATTGTGTTTAAATTCATGTGTTCATAAAGATATTGGACAAAATAAAAAAAAAATGTCATGAGTTCTATTTAGAGAATCAAAGGTAAACAATTCCTTAATGTGAAAACAAAGAAATACAGTAAGAGGAGCACTGGTGGTACAATGATCAAGTGCTTAACAGTTAACTCAGAGGTCAGTTGTTCAACACCCCCCCAACTGCTTCATAGGAGAGAAGACCCAACGACCTGCTCATGTTGGACTTACAGCCTAGGAAACCTCACGAGGCAGGTCTGCTTTGTCCTGTAGAGTCTCTCAGAGCAGCGACTGACCCCACAATTTAAAAAACAAACAAATAAAAGGATCCTGGTTGTGCAAAACTTTAAGTGTTTGCCTATGTTACCTTTTGATTTTAAAGGATGACGGTTTGAATCTCCATAGGGGATAGATTTGGTGATTTGTTCCAATTAAAATGATAACCTTGAAAACCCCAAGGGTATTTCTACCCTATCTTTTTTACATGCCCATGATAACCTTTAAGAACTCCGGAAGACAGCCACCTGATCAAATGACTGGAAGAGATCCATATTTGTTCCCATTCCCAAAAAAATTTCTAACAGAATGTGGAAATTATCAAACAATATCATTAATATCACATGCAAATACAATCTTGCTGAAGATTATTAAAAATGGTTAGAACAATGCGTCAATGCCAGACGTTCCAGCTGGGTTTAGAAAAGGCTGTGGCACCAAAGATACCATTATTGATGTCAGATGGATTTTGGCTGAAAGCAGAGAATATAAGAAGAATAAATGTTATCTTGACTATGTAATGGCATTTGACTCTGTGGGTCATAGGAAACTATGGCTAGCATAGAGAAGCATGGGATTTCCAGAACACTTAATTGTACTTGTTCAAAACCTATACCTAGACCAAGAAGCAGAACACAGAAAGGGACCACTGCAGGGTTTTAGATTAAGAAATGATGTGCTTTGAGGCTTTCTCCATACCTGTTCAATCTGTATGAAGAACAAATCATTTAGGAAGCTGGACTCTATGAAGAAAATCATTAATAACCTATGGTATGCATACCATACAACATTTCTCATTGAAAGTGAAGAAGACCTGAAGCACTTACTGTAGATCAAAGACTACAGCTTTCAATGGGTTACATCTTAATATCAAGGGGAAAACTCCTCATCACCACACCAATAGACAACATCATGATAGATGCAGAAAGGCTGATATTGTCAATAATTTCATCTTACTTGGCTCCACAATCATCACCCTTAGTACCAGTAATCAAGAAACAAACAAACAAATAAAAAGCTTTGGGAAAATCTGCTGTTAAGAACTCTTCAAAATTCCAAGAAACAGTGAAGTCAGTTTAAAGACAAAGGTGTACTTGATCCAGTCCATGGCCCTTTCAATCACCCGCTATGCATCTGACAACTGGACAATGAATAAGAATCAGAGAAGAATTGATGCCTTTGAATTGTGGAGTTGGACAAGAGTACTGAGTATCCCATGAACTGTCAAAAGAATAACCAAATACGCCCCGTCATGGATAAAGTGTGTCAGGATGTTCTTTAAAGACAAGATTAGTGAAGTTTCACCTCAGGTACTTCGGGCATGTTGAAATGAGAGGTCAGTCCTTGGAAAAGACATCATGCTTGATGCAGTGGAGGGGTCACTGAAAGAGAGGAAGAACCCAAACAAGGTGGATTTACACGGTGACTGTAACAGTGGCTCAAGTGTGTCAGATGAGGAGGATGGCACAGGACAATGTAGGGTAAGATCTGCTGTCATGGGGTTGCTGCGAGTCATGGTCAATTCAATGGCACCTAGCAACAACAATAGCCTTTAGGGAGCTTGGTGTCCTACTTGTTCACTTTATCTGGTCTTGGTTGGGGGTGGTCATGGGCCCATTAGTTTGTCCCCCCACCCCCGAGTCATGAGACGAGGTCTCTATCTAACCCGTATTACGATGACTTAGGCTTTAGTCAGTCTCATGGTTATCTGGTGCTCCCAGGTGAAGACCACACCCTGGGCCCCCTGTGCACCAGGTGTGGACGCCCCTGGTGTGCGTCCAGGTGCTGCTCATGGCCTGTGCTGACTACCAGAACCATCCAATGTGAAGCCATCTGTGAGGGAGAGAAGAGTAATCTCCTCCGTGCAATTTATAGCCTCTGAAAACCAGTTGCAGGTCTAGCTATGAGTCAGTTGCGACTGGATGGTACATAACAACAACAACAACAACAACAATACTCTTCAGGAACTTAACATAGATGAGGAAGGATTTCTCTCTGTAGGAATGTTGTGGTGGTGTCGTTGAGCCAGAACCAGCCCATAGCTTACACAGGAGAAGATTGCCCATTTTTCTCCCAAAGAGCAGCTAGGAGATTCGAACTGCATGCTTTAGGATTGGCAGCACAACTTCTTACCACTAGGCTACTAGACTCTCTGTAAGAATAGTTCAGTTAGTGAGTAAGTAGAGAATGATGAAACTTAGTGAAGTAATGGTTTTTAGGCAATGCTCACTACATTACTGTGACATCACAGAAAGATAACTCGAGAGGTGTTATATGTCAACTGCTGGCAGATGCTGCATCATTTATACAACATCTCATCAGAAAAAATAAAACATGGAAGGGCTCGGTGGACCTGTCTTGAGCTGTGTTGAATAAGAGAAATCGTTTCCAGTTCCTACGACATGCAGCTCTCAGTTGTGGAAAAGATAAGAACCATTGCTCGAGCTGTCTTTGGAGCCAAAGATACAGAACTCTCCCCGCAAGCACAGTCCAAAGTAAATTGCTACCTACACTCAACAGGGTATTGGAAACTTGCCCATCTGGCTGGCCAAGACCCATCTTTCTTTGTCTCACCAACCTGACAAGAAAGGGTTCTCGAGGGGCTTCATGTTGTCCGTCAGTGATGTCCGGGCCAGCGTCAGCCCGGGGTTCATCTGCCCTCTGGTGGGAACGATGAGCACCATCCCTGGACCACCCGGCCCTCCTTCTGTAACATCGACCTCGACATGGAGACCGAAAGTTCAGGGACTGTTCTGCGTGACCAGACTCTAGGACCAGGGTCAGGCTGCTGGAACCCCCACTGCTCCTCACCCTTCTGCTGCTCTGGGAGAAGAAAGAGTGGATCTGAACAATCTGGAGAGACGGTGAGATCGGCCAAAGATTTAGTCCTCGCTCCGGGTGACTTCTGTGTGTGACGGAGTGCGGCATTCTGCAGAAGGACCTATCCTCATTTGAGAGAAGCTCCTTTGTTTCCTCCTCCTGCCAAGCTCACATCACTTCCTGCTGCTGACCCCTTTACGATGTTTGTCGAATGAGGGCTGGGAAAGTAAAGTGTGTCAACTGAAAGGGACCATTGCTCACTAGGGCATTTTTATATTTTTGTCTTTAAACGGAAAAGAAATACATGTCTGGGGGGAAAGGAAAAAGAAACAATAAAATATTAATCTTATCAAATCTCTACCTAATAACTAATTTACAGGAAATAAAGAATGAAGAAATACATGGGTATGCTTGATTAATGCAATCAACAAAATCCAAATTGTGGGAAAATTTACTGAACAAATCCTGTATTTTAGAAAAAAAATTAGCCAATATAAATTACAATGAAAAAAACCCTTCAATTCTTGTCACAGTAGAACATATGATAAAAAGTTTATGAGACTAAAAGGGGATTTTAACACTAACCAACTATTTGAGGACATTAAAACGTGTTGTTATTTTTGGTGTGGTGATTTTGTTGTTGTTGTTATGTGCCGTTGAGTCGTTTGCGACTCATAGCGACCCTATGCACAACAGCCCTAAATCCTGCTCTATCCTGCGCCAACCGCACTGCCTCTGACACACCCATCCCGATTACCCCAGTCACTGAATCAATCCACCTCATAGAGGGTCTTCCCCTACTGCGCCGTCCCTCCACCCTCCCAAGCATGATGTCCCTCTCCAAGGACCCGTCCCTCCTGGCAACATGTCCAAAGTATATCAGACGAAGCCCCAGAATCCTTGCCTCCAAGGAGTAGCTTGGTTTAATCCTCTCCAAGATTAAATATTTTATCATGGTTGAAGTGAAAGTCTCAAAAACAAATTCATTTCCCATTTAGCAATTTCCACAAAGATTGTTTGATGCCATTGGCTGGTTCACCATTCTCCTAATTTCCATTTTGGGCTCCCTGTTTCCCTTTGTTCTGTTTTCCTGCCCTTTCTTGCCTTTCTAATATTTCTTGTGGGCTAATGCTCCCCTTTGGTCTCGTGTCATTGATTGACTGTTCTGAGGAGTGCATTCCTCTTGAGTGTTACTGTTCACTTTTTAAGCCTGTGTTTCATGTGACTCACAAGTGATCGCTGGGAGTTATAACTGGAAAGGTATTCACGGTTATAGTCTTGAGGGATTTTACCAGTGTCTACTAGACCAGAATGTCTAGTAGGTTTTTTTTATTAATTGAGTTTATTCTGCATTTACTTCCACTCTATCTGGCACTTTCTATTGTGGTCCTGGTCAGAATAGTTGGTGATGACAGGTGGGCACTATCTAATTCTTCTGATCTCAGTTGAGTGGAGATTGGTTCATGGGCTTCACTAATTCTTGGGACTGATGGTCGTGTTTTGATTATATAATTAGTTTTGTAAAATTTCTTATAATTTAAAGAAGCCTACTGAAGTATTTTCAGAGTCAGATATGTTTTTTTTTAATTCATATTTTTTTTTGAAAACATATTGGGGGTACAATGAGATGAGGGCTGGGGGCTAGAGTTAGATATGTTTTAAAATAATAAAGGATTCACTCACTCATTCACTCACCCCCACACTCCTATCAAGTCAGTTCTGACTAACAGCAACCCTTTGTCTATAAATAGAAGGAGACTGTCCACCTTTCTCCTGTGGAGCTCCTGGTGGATTTGAACCACCAGAGATTTGTAGCCTTTGATTTAGGAGCACAATTCACTGCTAACGATACCCCCAGAGCTAAGTTTGTAGTTTGGGTGATGGGCACCTGAAAGATTGTTATACTATTCCTTCTGCTTCCTTTGGCATTTTCCGGGAAAAGTTTTGCTACCTCTGTATTACATAACCCCCAATCTGACGTTTCCCTTCCTGTTTTGTAGATGGCCATGAAGAAGTTCTCCAAACTGGAGATCATACTCAGCGTTCTTCTGCTTCTGCTGTTCAGCATCACCATTCCTCTGTTTGTGCTGCTAGCCCAGAATACCTCAGGGTCGGAAGGTAACCGCGAATGCTCTGCTCTCTGTCCATGCACATTTATCAGGGCAAATTCCCTTTGCCAGGATAGGGATTGTCCCTTGATATATATGCGTGGGCACGGGCATATATATTATAGGTGTGCGAATAGAACCTGTTGAAATTGTGACCTTTCAGTAGATACTCACTGTAGATTTATGTGCAGGCTACTTTTTGAACTTCATTAACATAGTGCACCATTCTATAATGAACACTTAAAGTCTGTTTTCTGAATTTCATTGAATCCCAATTCTGAAAATAATGATAAAATATCCTTGTATAAGGATAGGACCATTATGAGTTGTAGTTGATTTGATGGCATGTAACAACAACAACAGAAACATCCCTATATAAAAGACAGTCATATAATTATATAGTCAATTAGAGTCCTTTAAGCTAAAATTTTGGTCTTTAAAAAGGAAGGATAATCTTCCCCAATTGCTATGAGTTGTTTGATCAGCATTGGCTGAGCTGGTTTGGCCTCCATGGGGCTGCACTGTGTTGAGTTAGCCAGGGTCCCTCTTTCTGTTCTGGTTCAGCCTCCCAAGAAATCCGGGCAGCAGAGCCTTATGGACCCTTTTAGCCCTCCCCAGCCACAGCAAATTCTGTTTTTATAGGAAGTTTGATTAGACGCCTCCAAAAATATTTGAATCCTAACATTCTGTGTTCCTGAAGATGGAGCTAATAGACTTCTGCAGAAGCTGACACAGATGGAGTTCTAGTAACCTACCCCTTTTACACTGGAAATTCTTTATTATTATTATTATACTTGTTTACTTACACAGTTTGAATACATTGTTTTTAACACAGGGACTTAAATTAGAAATTCTAATGAAAATAAAGCTAATCAAAAGCCTTGCTGTTTTGTCTTAATGCCATTATTCCTTTATTTTAGAAACACTGTTTTATTTGTGTGGAAGTTCACAAATTACATGCGGTTTTTTTTTCAGACAATCATTCATAGGTATTAGTTACCATTGATCGATGCAATTAACTTCCCCCCAACGTCTAAGCAAGCCCTTACTGTACATTGCTCTGCCCTTCTCTGCTTATTAATCTTTTCCTTTTCTCCCACCACATCCCCTATTTAATCCATATGTATGTCCTGTTCCATATTGTCAGCTCTTTGTTTTAGAACACAATAAATGCGCCTCTTTTATGTGACTGATTCTTAAGCTGAAATCCAAACTCTCTGGAGTAGGTTCCTGGGGGAAGATCTTTAGGGGAGGGGCGAGGGGCTCTGTTTACATTTCCTGGGTCTTAGAGGACTTGGCATTTAGTTAACAACAGGCCATCTACAGAAGTGGGGGAAACCTCTTTTTTCTTGGGAACCTGGGTGGCCTACACTGTAGGGAGTTGCTGAACCAGGGCAAGGGTGGTTCCCCTTTGAGAGTTCAAATTCACCAGCCACTTCACAGCAGAAAAATGGGTGGTCTCCCCTATGCCACCTCCTGCCTCTGAAACCTTTCTGGAGAGTCAGCTATGAGTCATTTCTAGCTCGGCAGCAATTGGTGTGTTTTTTTTTTTCTCTCTCACGCATAACTACTTATCTTTGCTCTTGTTAGACAAAAGCGCTAAAGACTCTACATAACCAAGTTGTTTGCCTGTGTTCTAGTAGTTAGAACCCAATCCCAAAAGTTCCTTTGGACTCCCAGGTTATAATTTGAAGTCCCCAGTACCAGATGGATGAAGGAGTCTAAATTCCCACTTTGGTGAGGTCCCATCTAGTGGTGCAGATAGACTGACTGCTTGCTCTTCCATGCCCGATCTCATAGGTGGAAGGGCTTGAGAGTAGAAGCAGCCAATGACGGCACGCATGCATAGAGAGGCAAGTCCAGCCCCAAGAGCGAGCTGAGATTTCACGAAGAGAGCAAGTGACTTTTGAGGACACGGGTAAAGCCCACCTCAGCCACAGCAGAGATGAAAACACTGGGGGAATTGAGAGTCATGAAGATTATTGCGTGTTGACTGTATCTGATGCCCTTTTTATGTTTGCTTCTCTGACAGTCTCAAATCCCGGGACAACTGTCCCACCTCTGTCTGCCGAGTGCCCTGTGGTAAACGAATCAGAGAGGATCAACTGTATCCCTGACAAGCAACCAACACAGGTTTGCCATGTGACTCTTGCTTTCATTTAAAAGAGTTTATGTCATTGCAATGTTTTTCTCTATTTGCAATTCTGCAGTGTTTGCATTATAGCCAGTGGGGCCTCTGATAATGTAACCTCCATCCGTGCATGCCTGGCTGTGGTCTGGCAAAAGCTCTTGCTAGACATAGCAGATAAAACACAGGTCAGGGACCTCTGGTTGCCTAGTGGCAAGAAGCTGCACTGCAATACCAGAGGTATGTGGTTTGAATCCACCAGATGCTCTGCTGGAGAAGGAGGGATGATCTTCTCCTGTACCAGTCAGATCTGATTTGACGGCACATACACAAAATAAGTAAATAAAATAAAACCCAAACAAACATAGGTCACCCAGGTAAACACGGGTCTCAGATAAACAGCAAATGTGTTTATAATGTAAGTATGATCTGTGCAGGGTCTGAGACTCTGTCTTTGAAGAAATAAATCCCCAAACTATTCTTGAATGTGGAGCAAAGATGACAGTGTACTTCCCGGATATGCTATTAAGAGGGAGCAGCGCCTGAAAAAAGACGTCATGCTCAGCATTTACGAGGCGCTCTGAGCTGGAGCCTAACTCAGTGGAAACTCACAACTACAACAGTGCGTTTGGTCTGCTAAGTCTTGCTGGGTCTAGTTCTCTTCTGCTCCATAATTGTATGTCTTCCCCTCAATCTGTTTCTTTTTCAGCTTTCTAAATATCAAAAGGCTATCATCCAGTCTTGACAACAGAAATTCACATGCATCCCAATTCCTTCACCCCCTTCCTCTGCCCACCTGTGACCCTGTAATTCCCCCTCTTCCCATCCTTAGTCTCCCTTCCTCCTCTCCTTCCTTCCCTGGACATTTATCCATATATTTCTAGTCATCCCTCCGCTGTTACATTAGAAGTCTTATGCAGTATTTGTCCTTAGGAGGCTGAGTTAGTTCACTCAGCATAATGTTCTCTAGCTTCTCCCGTGTTACATAGTATTTAAGGAATCATTGCTGCTGAGCGCTACATCGTGTGAATGTGATGGATCTAGTGGGGACTTGAAAAGACGGGGTGATGGTGGGCATAGATCTGTGCTGATTACTGATTAATTTTATAAAACACAGTTTATGAGAATGATCATATGAAACACAATGTGATTGAAAGGAATGTGTGAAACACAATGTACATGAATAGAACACAATGTATATGAATTTTAGGGAGCTGTGGTGGCCTAGTGGCAAGAAGCTGCACTGTAATCCCAAAGGCACATGGTTCGAGGCCACCAGCTTCTCCATAGGAGAAAGATGGGCAATCTCCTCCCGTGTGATTAACTGCCTCTGCAAACCGTCCAGAGGGCCAGCTATGGGTCGGTTCTGATTTGACAGCACACAACAACA